GTCCATCGTAACTGAGTCCATCATCCTGATGCTAAAATGCAGAAAAACTCACATTAGTTCCCTTTGTCAGTGGATAAATATCATTGATGCTCTTTTGAACGAGATCCCCTCGTGGCCATTCAATGAAGCTCGCGTTCTGAAACATATCGATGTTGATCAAACGAAAAATAACCAGTTTGCACGAATTTGTTTTTGATATCCCCGCATCAACGTTGTATTCGTTGAAACAGTCGAAATTCGCAAAGCAGTTCGATGCGCGTTTCAATCATGATTTGTAGTATCGAGAACGAACTGAAGACGGGAGAAGAGGTTTTTTGGGTTGCATAAAACACCTGTTTGACTGCATTTTCGAAAGCTGTGCTGTTCGCCTGGATGGCAGGATCGAGAATTACAATGAGGCTCATTCCTTTTTTGTGCAATTCGTGAACGTATTCACCCAGACCAAGCCATGCCTGCAAGAATCATCACGTCTCAGTTGATGCCAAATATGACGTCTTCTGAAGTGGGAGACACGTTAGAATAACCTTTCCAATGGTAAAGTCCTGGTAACGATCCATATAATCGATGTCCGCATGAACTACATCAAGTGGGATCTTGTTCTGAATCGTGCGATTGACAGCTTCTTGTAGATCGCTTAGCTTCTTGAAACTGTAGCTGCTCAACTGCAATAACATTCGAATCATTGACTCTCATCTGGCATCAGTCATCAAACGAATACTCATTGACCCCATTCCATTGTACTTGAATCATAATTGCACACACTGTTGCCTTCACTAATACCACTCGGGGCACTCAATCAATCTCATTCAACGCAACATGCCTGAAATCCAAGTGCCCAATACGCCGGAAGGAATGGCGTTCCGATGAGCATCTGGTACTGCTGCACAACCTGCTCTGGCTCCGGACCGGGGAAGAAGAAGATGTCGAGCATACCACCTATTGTGCGATAAATGAGATGAGGTCCCATTCCGGTTACGACTTCCTGCAGAGGTGACCACAATGTAAACCAGAATGATACAGCCTTTTGAGAAGAACAAAAGAATACGTTTGATGGCAACATAAAAAGATTACGTTTTGTGGTAAACATGGAAAGTTGATAAACTAGATGCTACATTTCTAGAGCTCCTTCATGTGGGCTATATGTATTACCTGTGCATTGCTGTTCAATATCAGAACTCCATGGGCTTTGTTGTCAGCTTCGAGACCGAGATAAAACGGATGGACGCCGTAAAGATTTTGTCCAACTGGTTGACCTCTAGAATTAGGTGGTTGATCTCTAGCGAACATGCCCCATGTCGTGTAGTTGTTGAAGAAGTGCTGCAAGAATGTAACAACATTATTCACTCATTGCTTGATTGTTTATGAGCATGATGGACTGTAGTGTGCACCGAGAGAACTATTTGAATTGTTTATTGTGTGATTTGTACGGAGTGTACTGAAAGAAGCTTTTAATTACTGGTTTTTGCACTTTTTATTCATCATATGCGATGCTGATTGTTCGACCGAATTACCTTCAGCGTTTCGTGGATGTTCTCTCCAAATCCGTANATTTTGTCGGATGGTAGCAGTGTCGCAATCTGAATGTACTGTTTACCGAACAACATTCCACCTGAAATTATTAGTGCCAAATAATTGTCATCCAGGCAATCAAACCATGTGCGCAATCCGTAAATGTATTGATCGTTCCATAGAACTATTCACTTGGGCAGACAATAACCTAATTAATGTCTTTTATAGCAGCACCTCAAAAATTGCACTTTGAAAAATTTGTCATTTTTGCAGGCTACGTTCACATACCAATTGAGGTATCCCATATTCGACTGCCGGACTGTCTGGTGATTGAAAACGTGAAAACTTCATTGTTGATGCTGCTCATTTTACCTCCACGAACGAGGGAGAGTTGTTCTGACGAATGATACTGATCTCTTGGCAGATATATCGGTGGCTCATAACTAAAAATAACTTATTCAATTCAGACTCAATAATATAGATCCTGCAAGTGCAAAAGGGTGCAGAATGAATACGAACATGACCTCACCTTCCTTCGTATCCAATCCTCACGTTAAGAGTCGAGCCAATACGAGTCTGTGTCAGTGAAATTTGTTGAATTTCTTCACCGAACGGATTCTTTGGACTCTTGTCGTATTTGGTGAGCATAATCGTTG